AAAAAAAAAAAAAAAAAATTATTTATTCTTTCTAGATTAGTGCAAAAGTATCCTTTTTGTAGAAAACAGGATCTCACTATATTGCCCAGACAGGTCTGAAACTTCTAGGCTCAAACTATCCTCCCACATCTGCCTCCCTAAGTATTAGGTTTACAGGTGTGAACTACTGCACCCCACAACATTCTTACTATATACATATATTTGCACATACACGAGAATTTTTTTTCATTTTTATTTCCTCCCACCCCCCCCCAAAATTGGGGGCCAGGCATGGTGGCTCATGCCTGTAATCTCAGCCCTTTGGGAGGCTGAAGTAGGCATATCACTTGAGCCCAGGAGTTCAAGACCAGCCTGGGCAACCTGGCAAAACCCTGTCTCTACAAAAAAATAGAAAAAAATTAGCCAGGTGTGGGAGCACACGCCTGTAGTCCCAGCTACTGGGGAGGCTGAGGTGGGAGAATTGCTCGAGCCTGGGAGACTGGGGCTGCAGTAAGCCAGGACCACCACTGTACTCCAGCCTGGGGGACAGAGAGACTATGTCTTTATAAAAAAAAAAAAAAAAAAAAAAAAAAAAAAAAAAAAAAGCCGGGCGCGGTGGCTCACGCCTGTAATCCCAGTACTTTTGGAGGCCGAGGCCAGTGGATCACAAGGTCAGGAGTTTGAGACCAGCCTCCGCAACACAGTGAAACCCCGTCTCTACTAAAAATACAAAAAAAAAAAAAAAATTATCCAGGTGTGAGGGTGGACACCTGTAATTCTAGATACTCAGGAGACTGAGGCAGGAGAATGGCTTGAACCTGGGAGGCGGAGGTTGCAGTGAGCCAAGATCGCACCACTGCACACCAGCCGGCGACAGTGGGGACATTTCGTCTCGAAAAAATAATAAAAAAGTAACTTACTGGCCAGGCAGGGTGGCTCATACCTGTAATCCCAGCACTTTGGGAAGCCAAGATGGGCAGATTATCTGAGGTCAGGAGTTCAAGACCAGCCTGGCCAACATGGTGAAAACCCATCTCCATTAAAAATACAAAAATTAGCCAGGAATGGTGGTGCACACCTGTGGTCCCAGCTACTTAGGAGGCTGAGGAAGGAGAATCACTTGAACCTAGGAGGCAGAGGTTACAGTGAGCTGAAATCGTGTCACTGCACTCCAGCTAGGCAAAAGAACAAGACTCTGACTCCAATCAATCAATCTTACTTAGGCTAGTATTAAGATTTCTTGGCATTTCCTGACCATATACCATGTAATGACTCAAGAAGTTAGTATTTTGAGAGAGATAAAGGGGAGAGGCCAATAGTAACGTCTATCACAGGGTAATGTCTATCAAAGTGGATAATCCCCACACTGCTTTATTTCATCAAGTTGAGGAACATTGGTTGTTCCCATATGCTCCCATAAGACTTATTCAATCTAACCCTGCTGTCTTTGACTAGGTCAGAAGGTACTTTTAAGTTTTAAAAACTTTTCTTACTTCCAGATTGTTTGAGAGTCTTTCTCACTGTACCGCACTGCACATAGCTCACTGCCCCTTCAACTTCCCCAGCTCAAGCAATCCTCCTGCCTCAGCCTTCTAGGTAGCTGGGATTACAGATGCACCCCACCATGCCCAGCTATTTTTTGAGATTCTCGCTCTGTTGCCTAGGCTGGAGTACAGTGGTGTGATCTCGGCTCACTGCAACCTCCGCCTCCCGGGTTCAAGCAATTCTTCTGCCTCAACCTCCTGAGTAGCTGGGACTACAGGCGCACCACCACACCTGGCTAATTTTTTGTATTTTTAATAGAGACAAGGTTTTGTCATATTGCCCAGGCTGGTGTCAAACTCCTGAGCTCACGCAATCTGCCCGACTCAGCCTCTCATAGTGCTGGGATTACAGGTGTGAGGCACTGCAACTTGCCTCCACAAACCTTTAAGAGATAAGAGGATTAGAATAAAGCAAAGGGCACCTTCACTTTTATTTTTTTTTGAGAGGTCTCACTCTGTCACCCAGGCTGGAGTGCAGTGGCATGACCTCAGCTCACTGCAACCTCTGCCTCCCAGGTTCAAGCGATTCTCCTGCCTCACCCTCCTCAGTAGCTGGGATTACAGGCGCCCACCACCAAGCCCAGCTAATTTTTGTATTTTTAGTAGAGACAGGGTTTCACCATGTTGGTCAGGCCAGTCTCAAACCCCTGGCCTCATGATCTGCTCGCCTCAGCCTCCCAAAGTGCTGGGATTACAGGTGTGAGCTACCACGCCCAGCCATCTATCTCATTTTTAACAGCTTCATAGCACTTCATTGTGAGGATACAGTATGTTTTGTGTAATCAATCTCTTATCAGTGCTTTCTGGTTTTGTTTTTTTACTAACAGGGCAGTAATTAACATTCTTTTTAAAAAAAAATTTATTTATTCAGGCCGGGCGCGGTGGCTCAAGCCTGTAATCCCAGCACTGTGGGAGGCCGAGGGGGGTGGATCACGAGGTCAAGAGATCGAGACCATCCTGGTCAACATGGTGAAACCCC